TTTTTAGCTTGATGGGGAAGATTGTTCTGCTTAAATTGATCTCTCGAGCTAGTGGCTGCGATTTTTTTCGGAGGAGGTACAGGGTTTTGGGGTTTTTGTGAGGAGTTCTTCACTTTTTCAGCCGGTTCTCCGGCTGCCCAGATTTGTAACAGGTGGCAAGTGCATTAGCCGTCTGCATCCTCCACCGGAGGTCGAACAGGACGCGGTCGCTCGATCCTTCCCGTGACTCTCTCAACTCATCTCTGATTTGGCAGAGATGAGTTAGGAGATTGCCATAATGGTAAACCACCACCGTCAACTGCCGCATGGTATTACCATCACGAATACGTGAGCCGCCAACGGCAACTGGTAGATGGCACAGCCATCGCGATTGCGCGAGCCCCTACCAGAAATTCGTTGCGCCGCCCTTGGGGGCAAAAAACGGTGAAAGCTAACGTACGAAATCAGAGGGCAGCACACGGTGCGATCGCGCGACCCTGCCCGTGAGCAATCTCCCAACTGATCTCTGCTACAAGTCGCGGTTTCACCGAGACCACTAGCGCTACCTGTGGCGCGTTTCCACACTTCCCCTTCTTGCGATCTGGGGGTCTATTACGTAAAGCAAGTTGAACGAAAATGTGAAAAATGAGTAGCTGACGGTATTACGGAACGTTTTTGGTGGTGAAAATGCGAGACATTCGTATGAACTGGCTGGGCATAAATTTTTGAGAATCTCTATTAGAGGTAAATAGGTGGACTCTCATCGGCTATTGACGATATTGCGCATGCGCTTGCACGTTTAGTTTGGGGTAATATACTTTGTGCCTGCGTAGAAAACTAGGGACGTATTATACGTTGTAATATACGTGTAGAAAACCACGTATATTACTTGACGTATTATACTTACCCAACCCTGGCAATAAGGTCCCAGGGTGAACAACTGCAAGTGAGAACGCTATCGGGAGGCATAAGACCCACGAGAGAACAAGGGAGAACTTAAACCATCTAAGAGAGAGAACGCCGCTCCGGAAAGACCCTTCCTCGACAGTGCCAGACGGTTATTGGAAAAACCATATCGAGATCCTCCCAGCAGGTGGTGGAATGGCCTGGGACTGGGATTTTGCCAGTGGTAATGAAAGCCCGAAGTCTTTGTGGCCCGTAGGAATAAGAGAGAACGCCACGTCTATTACCCCCGAGCCTCGGGTCGAACTGAGCCTTCCTTCGCGACGGGAAGCCATTCATGCTCAAGGCCGGATACCTGGCTGCATAAGCTGTCCCTCCTAAGCAGTGTTGCCAACTCTGAGTCTGTTCATTCTGATAGCCTAGTATAACCTGGCTGCATAAGCCTGTCCCTCCCAAGCAGTGTTGCCAACTCTGAGTCTCTTCATTCTAGTATAGCCGGGCTAAAATAATAGTATAAACAGGTCCGATAAAGAAAGTAATAGTACAAATTAAAAAGTTGAAATATCTTCATAAAATATTTGCCTGCACGGAAAAAAAAAAGAAGGAAGGAAATGTAATTCAATACGTTTAATTCATATTCTAAGAAACAACTGAAAACACGTAATAATTTTTAGTTATGGAACGCCGAGTCTTATGAGCGTACCATTGCAATGTGTCGCGTCAAGAACGCGAACTAATCAGAATAAACTCATTGTTTCTGATAATCAGTATGGATAGTTCTAATTGGTTGCCGTCTATTGGTAAACAGGGAAAAGGTCTACCCGTCGCAGAGTAATAAAACGGATTAGACCGTCTTCACCCACTTTTGAATTGCTGATTACAATACAGGCCATTACCAATTGTGGGTACTTATTATTAGATGGGAATTTCCGTCCGGAAGCAGGTAAACAGCCTAACCCTTGTTATTACCCTGTGGCAAGCCTTTTCCCAGTTCACGCGTAGAAGGGGTAACGAAGGCCTCTTGGAAATTCACAGATTTTCCTGCGAAAACGGAGTTTAACCCGTTCACTGTCCGGAAAATTTAGAGACTATTTTAATACATACGCTTACTACGAGATATTTCGTAGCTGGCAGTGAAGGGATTAAATCAGTTACCGATCCTTGCAACTAAATCAGTAACTGATTTAGTTTTCGAGGATATGAAAACTCGAGAAACTTCACAGTTTTCAATTTGACACGTCTTCCGTGCTCTCTGAGATTCACAAGATTACATACTCCACGTTGGTCCCTAAGCGACAGCGTTGCCACCTACAGAGAGCATTTCCAATAATATTCTGTACCCTTTTTCGCGGTCACGAGCTTCCATAAGGGTGCAGTTTGTCCTCCTGGTTTCCAGTCTTCATAGGGTCGGCCATGGTATTGATATATTCACTCCAGAAGCGGGGAAAACTCCCGCGCGCGGGATTTGTCCTCCTGTCCCGATGTCCCCACCATGACGTCTCCAGTTTCCCCTTCCCCTCATTCCCAAAACCTCCCCTCCTACTCGCGGCGGCGCTGCACTGCGGTTGCGCAGAAGGGCCGAGTGGGGTAGGCAGGTGGAGGGGGAAACCTCCGACTGCAGGACTTGTGAAGGGGAAAGGCGTGCAGGTTTCTGGCAGCACTGAGTCAGTATCAGTCAGTATCGTCGATGTCCGAGCAGTGTACAGAGGAAATGGCTCCGAATTTGTCTCCTGGGCAACGCGGTATTATCGTGGGAATGTGGCTGAGTGAGTTACCCGTTCACAACATTGCCGCGAAAATCCCGTGCAGCAGAAAGACTGTGCTTCACTGGATCCGGAAGTATAAAGAAGGTGGTTACGATGCTCTGCGTGACCACCGGAAGGATAATTGCGGTCCAAGGAAGACGTCTGACCAAGAAGACCGTCGATTAGTCGACGCGATTTTTGAGTCTCCCTCCGCTGCGGTGTCGGATACGATAGTTCGGCTAGGCCTTCCTGTGTCCGTGAGTACCGGCCGGCGTCGCGTTCGCGAAGTCGGGCTTTCCTGCCATCGTCCGGCCAATAGGATACTTCTAACACCCGCTCACCGGGAGCAGAGGGTCGCGTTCGCGATCGAGCACCTTGCGACGCCACGTGAGGTTTGGGAGGTGACGATTTGGACAGATAAAAGGGTCTTCCACTCGTCCGCCACCCGAGGTACTCGCGTTTGGCGGCCAAATGGAACCAGGTTGTATCCAAATCACGTCTTCCCCCGCGATCGCGGTGGTCAGGTATCGTGCACCATGTGGGGATGGATCAGCGGACACCAAGCTGGGGAACTGGTGGAGGTTTCCTCCAACATGGACTCCGCCGAATATATCCATATCTTGGAAGAGGTTCTTCTTCCAAGCGTTAGGGCTATGTATTCGGCGGAGGACATGCCAATCATCCGCTTGGTACAGGATGATTCCGCGATCCAATCGTCAGATGAAGTACAAACGTGGTTTTCGGAGCACCCTGACATTCAATTGGTGCAGCGACCGGCTAAGTCGCCGGACTTCAATATCTTCGAAGGCGTTTGGTCCGAGATGGCTCGATTGTGGGTCCCGGCGAGGGAGAGGACGGTGGCAAGGCTGATCAACCACGTGGAAACGATCTGGGAACTGCTACGGCTAAACCCGGAATTTTTCGCAGATTTAATCGATTCGATTCCGAATCGATTGAATCAAGTGGTTGACCGGGAAGGATACTGGTCAGATTACTGAGGATCGACGATAAGGCCCTTTTCAGGGCCGCAGATATTTTCTACGTGAAGCGACCTCGCAATCGTGGGAGTGAAATTTAATAAAGAGATTTGTTAATCATCCTTACCGAAACACCTATCCTGAAATAAAAAAGATCCCTCCTTTTCCGATAAACCACAATACCTATTAATGGAAAAATTGTGTATAACTTTCACACCGGTTTAAAGGAAATTTTAGAAATATTTAACAAATTCAATACTGTCGGTCAGGGTCAACCGGAATGACTTTGAAATGTTTGTTACTAACCTTCTTATTTCTTGAGATATTGGTTTCGACTTTAGAATCCGAGAGATAACAGATAAGTATTATTTAATGCCATTAAATATGGCGAACTCAATAAACGAGTAGGTTCAACTTAGATTTGGAGCAATCACTTCATCCATTTGCTTATTGAATTCGCCATATTTAATTCAGAAAATAGGTTTAATCTGTTCTTTTCTTTTTTCAGTGCAGAAGTCAAACAACATAAATCTAGAAACTCATTAAAAAAAAATATCATCCTGCCAGTCATTGTAAATATCTTATAATATATTTTATTCTCCTTAAAACTAGGAAACTATTATAAAACTTTATAAATGTCTTTAGTATCTGTCAAAGTTATTTGGCCCCTTTCTTACTGCTCGAGTGTATTTTCAAACGTTTCTTGGGTGTAGTTTTGATACATATGTATGCATATACCACACTGTTACGCGAGGGTAAGTCGCCATTGGGCACCGCTAGATGGCACCACCATTACGAAGCGACGCTGCGTCACTTCCGTTGAGTTAACTGGTTTACACTCATATTAACCTGCAGTTTAACTGATTTACACTCGTCTTAATCAGCTGTAAACTAATTAAACTTCGGTGAACCGGTTTACACCCGGTTTAAACGCGCTGTAAACCAATTAAACTTCAATTAACTCTAGTTGTGGAACCTGGCCGTAATGGACAAGTCGATAGTGCATTCCCCTTCCGCGAAACAAAATGGCGCGCGCGTCGCGGTGCATTCGAAATGACAGAGAATTTCGCTCTACTTTTGTAGGCAACTGACGTTCGCTTAAGCCGTCGCGGGGATTTGACCGATTTGACCACGTTCAGAGCGACCAATCGCTTCTTACTTAATAGCCGCATTATGTCACTTTTTGAATGATTCTTTTCTGCAGTTATTTATTCAACCTAATATTTCATTATGGATTTGCATACGGTGATAAACAAGGTACGAACGCTTAATGAGAGTTTTGACACTCGGTGTGTGCTGTACTGTCAGAAATTCCCCTAATGCACAATTTCGGAATCTAACCAATAAGGATGCACCACGATTGTTGCGCTACGTGACTACTGCATTTTCCACCTTAATTCGCATTTTCTAATACAGCTACATTGTTATGGATTCTTTTTTTAATTTAGGAATTGTCGAATTTCATATCGAGAATGTTTCCTATTTCAGAGCGAAGATGAGATGACACCGGAAGAGAAATGGAGGTGCGTTTAATTATGCCGAAGGGAGTGATATTATAATATCGCATCATTGCTAATTGAAGAGAATGTACGGTATCTAATAATTAAGCTGATTTTTATATGGTTCAACATTGCAGGATGGAACACATAAAATTGCACGCAGAGCATCAAGGCCACGAGTCGATGCATGCGGAGATGTTGATTATTCTTCTGTTTACTTTAGTGGTAGCTCAGTTGGTCTTAGTCGAGTGGAAGAAGTTACATTTTAAGTCGTTTCAGGTGAGTTACGATCAAAAGTTATCCAAGAAACGAGGATGTTGAAGATTTGTACTAATCGTTAAACATTTTTTTGCAGCTTATTACATTAATAGCTATGTGGGTAATTCCACTAGGACTGTGCGTGAGGAGCCTCTGGTGGAGGTTCATATTTTTCTGGCTGCTATTTTCGTGTATTACTGGCCTCGTTGTCAGGAAAGCGATACAAAAGCCAATAGAAGTTACTACTCCTAGGTTGGCAACATGCTCATTCATTTCTAATCGATCACTGAGAAGTATGTTAATTATCTCTCTTTTGCAGATTAGTATACAAATGGTTCTATTTTATCTACAAATTAAGCTATACCCTAGGCCTTATAGGGTACTGTATAATGATAGCAACATTTTTTGGCTTAAACCTCGTCTTCGACGTCAAAACCCCCGTGTGGATGGACTGTGGTTTGCTCTTTGTATTCTACGGTCTATACTTTGGCGTTCTCGGAAGAGACATTGCAGAAATCTGTGCCGACAAGATGGCGTCACATATTGGGGTAACAAGTGACATATATTTCAAATCATTTCCCTAAAAAGTTCCTGAAAAGTGCAGTGCATCACATTTCGTATGAATTCCTTCCGCAGTACTACACCCCAGGCAGTATGCCCACGAGAACGTTAGAAAGCGGAGTATGTGCAGTTTGTGGGAATAAATTACTGGTCTCGGAGCACGAAGAAGGCGTCATAGAGAACACGTACAAGCTGAGCTGTGAACATGTGTTCCACGAATTTTGCATCCGGGGATGGTGCATCGTAGGGAAGAAGCAGACGTGCCCGTACTGCAAGGAGAAGGTCGACCTGAAGAAAATGTTCCGAAACCCGTATCCTTTTGCATGTAATGCATTTGTTTAGAGCTGAAGAAGGGGTTGATCAAACTGTATAGACCTTAACGCAGTCCTGAAGATGGGAACGACCTCATGTACTCTACGGCCAACTTCTGGATTGGCTCCGGTGGTTAATGGCGTGGCTGCCTTTAATCCTATTTCTAGTACAAGGTATCAATTGGGCCCTGGGCCTCAAGTAAGTAACGTTGCCTTGGCTCCTCCGGAGCCGCGTACGAGCTCGCGTTTCGAGTACATGCGAGACCATCCCCTCGGTGCCCAGTTGTTTCATTCACGGGACCCTCTCACCTGGGCCAGGGGTCCGATCTCAGGGCAAAAGTACTCGTTCGCCCCTCTTCGGGGCAAACAATAATGCTTCGTTATTAAGGCTCGTGTCTACCGGCAGGTAATTTGCACATCTCTTGCTAAAGCTACTTGCCGATACCCAATTTTACAGAAAAATTGTTGCAAGTCTCTTCAGCGAGTACTTGCAAGGTTCCTAATTAAAGTAATTTCCATTATTGTTTCCACTTAGACTACAAGCTTGCGGCAATTTTGTTACGTTTGGGGATATTATTCTATATTGAGAATGTTAGCTGCTGTTTTAATTATTAAAAAAATGAGAGAAAGAGTTTGTAAGAAAATAAACACCTGTCTACGCTACCAACAAATTAGCAGCAAAATCGTCGCAAGTCCTTTTATCGAGAGGCTCTTTGCTAATGTAATTTACATTACTGCGTACACTTTTTATTACAAACTTATGGCAATTTTATTATAGTTGATGATATTTGGTATTGAAATCTGCTGTTGTAATTATAACAAAAGGAGATTACAAAGGGATGGGAATGAGACAAGAGAATGCTAATTATGTGTAAAGTCGCCCTGAGAAGTTTAGGTACGTTATGTTATATTGGTAATTAATCAGATGCTATTTTGGCAAGTTTGATCTGCCCGTTGACACGAGCCTTTACTGTATTGTGATAACGCGTTTTCATTGGGTATCCGTGAGAAGGATTCGCAAAGATCGTCACTTCCGCGCGTCCGTACTTCGGCCCGATACAGTAAGACCTGAGTTCGGACAGACAAGTGCCTACTTTTAAGCGGACCCTTCTGACGTCTTACTGTATCTAGTCATCAGTGTTATACCCACGTGCATTGACACTTTTTACCTTCGACATCTTCCGCAGACTTGTCAATTGCCCTTAGCGCATCCTCTTATGTCTCGTTTCCCTGTGCGCGGAGAAGCACGTGGATCGGGCAACGCGGAATGTCTTGGAGATAACCAGATAACAAATTGATGCAAAATTTGCATGAAATTTGCCTGATAAAACGATCATGAAATGAGCCGTCATTTGGAACTCATACCTGCAGGATACAATGACGAACGAAAAATACTTAAATATAAAACAAAGTTAAGAACATGCAACGTCTCAATGTTTGTACGCACGTGTGCAGTTAAATTTATCTCACACATTGTTGATAAACAATTGCAGCGCCAGTAGTTCATATTTTAGTCATGGCGTAACAAATTTATCGCAAATTTTTGGTCAAATTTATCCTGCAATATGCGTACATATGTTGTACACATTTCATGCAGTAAATGGTCTGCAAATTGTTTGTAAACCGATTTTCCTCATGTAATGATTATGAATTTCTATCTGGGTAGCTCATTCCGCGTTCCGCGTCGATTCCGTATGCTTTCCGCACGTATGGAAATGAGCTCTTACTCGCCAAACTCGCGTCCCTCTTAGTTTTGACCATTCGCAACTCATTTGCGATTAACTGATTCATCACCTTAAGGGGATGTGAAAGCGGCACCTGAAGAGTCAATCGTTCATAAAGCTTTTCTCCAAACCTCGGTGTACCGAATCATTTCAAACTTTACAATGTAAATATGGAAGCTACAAGGAAGGTCCTGACACCATGAAATTTCATTTTTTGCAACAAATTTTAGAAATATCTATGGACAAATTTTGATAAAAATTGAAATTTTATGAATTTTAGGACCCTTCTTATACCCTTTATATTTACATTGAAAAGTTTGAATCGATTCAGTGCACCCAGTTTGGAGAAAAGTTTCATAAACGAGAACTTTTCGACGGCACTTTCACGCCACCTTAATCTCTAAAAGCGTACAAAGTACATTCCACGGTTTTACCCAGTAAGGAGCTCTTCTTCCCGTTTAGATATTCTTTTCCCACGGACTTGTCGCGGATAGCAAGGATTTTGTACATTTGCAATTAATCAGGAGGTTTGAAAAGTTCCGATAAATGGGCGGTGCATTCCTCTCCCGGCCAAGGGTTAAATTATTGTAATGGAGTTTATACATTTACGAGATATCCGGACTGCATGAAATGCGAGGAAATTCGCAGACCTCGAGTGTCCAATGATCTATGGCCAACGCACGAGTGTTCGTGCGATCGTTTTATTGTCCACAATGTCCTTACAATTGTAAAAAGAATAAACCATTTCGCAGTATTCATTACTTACTGGCTCTCATTTACCTCGCTCAACTGGATTTCGTATTATCGTCGCTATCATTATCGACCACGTGACACGGAAGTGTCATCTCGAAAAACTAAACATTTTCGGATAGTCATTGCAAAATGTCATTAGATTTATTCAAAGTATTAGCGTATTAGAGTATCGCAGTCATTATCGACCACGTGAGACAGAAGTGTCATCTCGAAAAAAGAAACATTTTCGGACAGTCATTGCAAAATGTCATTAGATTTATTCAGAGTGTTAGCGTATTAGAGTATCGTAGTCATTACGTCCTCGTGACACTGAAGTGTCATCTCGAAAAAAGAAACATCGCGCTCTTAGCGTCATCTTGGAAAAAGAGCGTTTTTAAAAAACACTTATGCCGACATTTGATCCAATATTGCGTGCACGGTCAGACGAATTTCGCCCATATGTCAAAATGGCTCCGTGTTCGAAAGGTTAAAGAACTGATATCAAACAGCGATCGTCCCCACTCTGTATAATTATTAGGCAGCATCGTGGCTTTAGGAAATCACCGGCAACCTCGTGACAGTCTTAACCCTTTGGCTACTAAGAGCGCCTAAAGGCGCCCGACGTTTGGTCCAATATCGCCTGCACGGTCAGACGAATTTCGCCCATATGTCAAAATGGCTCCGTGTTCGAAAGGTTAAAGAACTGATATCAAACAGCGATTGCCCCCACTCTGTATAATTATTCGGCAGCATCGTGGCTTTAGAAAAACACCGGCAACCTCGTGACAGTTTTAACCCTTCGGCTACTAAGGGCGCCTAAAGGCGCCCGACGTTTGGTCCAATATTGCGTGCACGGTCAGATGAATTTCGCCCATATGTCGAAATGGCTCCGTGTTCAAAGGGTTAACGCTAAAAGTGAGATATGAGTAAGGATCTAAGGACGTATTTGCATTTCCAAGGAACCCTTAGAAACATAATTAGATTTATTTAGAGCATCGGTGAATATATAAGAACTGTCATGTATGTACAGCGGGGATGTGCGGTAACGAGGGCCAAGGTTCCCAGCAATGCAACTCGCTTTTACCGATTTTTCAGGGAACCGAGGGACCCTGAAGACGACCCGGAAATGTACCCCGAAGTCGTCTCACCAGGTTCCCAATAAGAGCTCGGTGAGTGTTAGCTCACTTCTAGTTCCTAACGTGTCCCAGGGGATCAACACACGTCCTTCAAGGAACTCGAAGACGGTGTCGAGATCTCAAGGCAAAGAGGGAGACGTCCACGAAGAGGGATGACTACCGAATGACGATTGATCGTGCCTCTATAATCACCCTGAAGAGAAGCAACATACATCGCACCATTTCTTCTAGATCTACTGGGTTGTCCCACGAGTCCCTGGACGGATTTCTAAAGGTTCAAAGCCTACTGTTTGCAACGCAACAAACAATGTACTAATTAACAATGTAATCCCCGGCACTGTTAATCGCTTCTTGGCATTCTCCAAATTTTATACCTAGCACGGGAATTACTGCAAAGAAAATACGCTGCGGAAAATATTCCCAGAAATTTATGGAACATGAACAAAAAAACGTAACAAACAATGTATTAATTAACAATGTAATCCCCGGTACTGTTAATCGCTTCTTGGCATTTTCCAAATTTTATACCTAGCACGGGAATTACTATGAAAAAAATACACTTCATGAAACTCTGTCCAGGAATTCATGGGACATGAACAAAAAATGAAGTGCCCTCGGACCCATCGTGTTAGCCCTTTACGTTGTATGCGAAGAATTTTGACAACTTTGCACGACGAATTAAAATGATATAATATTAGAAATAAGAGGATGTATTTCGCTTCACCTTAAGACAGCGCAATTATGTATTTCATGATCTTTCGACCTTCTTTGCTCCCTAACTCCTGGGTCTCAAAGGTTTAAAATCCAGGATTTTTAGAGTGAATCCTCCCACGATTAAAATGATAGGTATTGATATATATTTTTGAACGTATGTATCAATAACTAAGGTGCAGAGAGGTGAATTTCGGCATTTTCACGATGGGTCCGCCACCTCGCCAGGGAGGTGATCAACAACTCGGGTTAAAAGACATCACGAAGGGCCAGGATAAAGGGATAGGTCAGGGAGCGAGACATATCACACGGACACGGGGAGAGATTTTATATATATATATTTATTGAGTACTTAGCGCGTGTAAGAGTATAGAATATACGTACTTATATTAAATATTACACGGTAGTATAGTAATTGTATAGCCTTTCTTTCATTAAAATAAAACTCGTGAGTGTGTACGTGTTCCGGGCGGGTGGGGGGGTGGGGACAAGGACGTACGAGTGTAGTAAGGATATTTACACAATAATAAATATGTACAAAGATGATAAATTATAGTAGAATTCCCGAGGGCGGGGAGAGGGGGGACGGGGGCTTTTTCGAAAAGTCCCCATCCCCGGAACCACCCCTCGCCCCCCTGGGGGATCTTCAGGGATAGGACGTCCCCGATCGGGACTTTTCGAGTCTCCTGAGAACCCCGAAGAGAGCTCGTTTCTCCCGTAGGAAAATTTTGGGGGGGAAAAGTTGCGCACAACACACGAGAGGGAACTGGCAGGGCTCACGAAGAGGTCTCACGAAAAGCTACCCTTCTCCCTTCTTTATTCGGAAAGAAAAGAAATGCCGACCGAAGAGGGCGAACCCTCTTCATGGTCTCTTCGGCTTCCCCGCTCTTCTTCGGGACTCCTTCTCCGTTGGATTCGCCGAAGAGGGGAATACATGTAATTTATTTACACCGGGCCGATTGGCTCTTCAGGGTAGAAACGAATGACCAAAGCAGACCTTCCCTTCTTACTCTCTTGCTCTGACTAAGACTCCTTATCTCCTCTTCGCCCTCTAAATCGCCAACTATCGTTAACACGACTTTATTATACTCATTTATAGTTAGTGCTCGGGCTGTCTCTCTTTCTCTCATTCGCTCTCTCGTTCTTCTCATTCTCTCCGTTCTCACTTTTCTCCCTCTCTTTCTCTCCCTCCCATTCGCTCTCGACACGTACGCGGTAGTTACGAAGTATTGCTTTTCTTTGTCACGCGTCCACATTTATCTCACTCTCTCTTTTCTCTTCCTTTCTCTCTGTCTTCGCGAAAGACCCGGAGGCGTTTCTCGACGAACTAAAAAATCGATTTCGAGCGCACGACGCGCCTGCGAGGAAACAATGCATTCTTAAGCGTAAAGTTACTCTCGAGTACAAGACTATTTTGCTCTCTGACGTCCCCTCGTCCTGCGTCGCCGTTTCCAGAATTCCGTTCAACCCTCCGGGAAATCCCGGGAGGTCCTGGACCCTCCGGAATCCCCTACAAAGATCCACTTCCGGGTGATTCCCGACGTGAACGATTTTTCCCAGGATTTCATTAGAACCCTTTCGCCTCCACTTAGTAGAATGACCGTCCCCTTTCATTTCCCTCTTTTTTTTTTAAGGACGCACCAGGACGACGGTGTACAGAAGGATCCCATCCTGCTTTCGTGTTGCGTGTGCAGCTATACAAGAATGGATATGTACAGCGTACGCGGCGGAAATCGCTATACGGCGGCCTTGAGTCCCTGACCCGCGCAACGCAAGACCGGCCGCGAGACGGGCCGAGTCCATCTCCCGCATTTCAGGAGCGATTTCATGAATGAAAAGTACGTCGAAAAATTACGCAAAAATTATGATAAATCGGTGACACCCTCAGGTTTGTCTTGCGTCGGTCGCGCCGTTCCTCAAGGCCGATCTTGCCCTCCGCTCGCCCCTCTTCCTCCTCCTGTTACGTCGACTATTTCTTATCAACGAGTTGCGTGTATGATTATGTATCTTGTTTTACACCTAATTAGAACACAACGGTGGAGCGACCGCTCGCGCACGTTGGCTCGCAGCATCCCCTATTACTTGGTTTACTTTCTATCGGTTACTTCGGGCCGAACCCCCTTCTTCGGCATCGGGGACCCCCTCTTCAGGGTCGAAGGGGCGCCCTCGAGCCCCAGGCCGAGGTTCGGTTTCAAGGGACCTCCTCTCCTCTCTTAACACTCAGTTAGGACTTCGACGACACAATTCAAAAAATAATTTTTCATTTTCAGTAGAAAGATAGGCGGGGCATCTCCTCTATTCTTATCTTCTCTGACGGTCCTCTCCCTCCGCTCGTTCCCCATAATTATTCCCCCTGGACTCGAGGCCTCTTACTGGGTACCTCTCGACGAATCTCACTTATCCTTATCATTCCTTCAGGGTCGCTCGTCTCATGCACGGAGGGAATGTGATTACATGGCAACCTGATAATGGATTTTCACGTGTAAATCCGCGTCTCGACAGCGTAATTGGGAAATCCCGCCTAATCGTCGATTGTAATTCCTATCTAATCACATTTTTCCCCGTAAATAGAGTGACCAACAGGTGTTACCTCGAGAATAGGGACAACTGAATGAAAAAAGAAAGGTCTAACGATTACGCTTTTCCTTTCGCGTCCCTCGGCCGGGTCTAGAAATGATTAAAACACGGATTATCATTAAATTAGGACCCATGTTTCACCGTACAGCAGGCGATAGATTGCTACAAATATCGTATGGTTGATTGCACGTAAAGCAGGACTCAAGATGACTCAAATTTTCACGGAAAATATTGGCCACTCCATGCACCGATATCTCGCAACGTCGACCTGACTCTAGTTGAATATATAATATCAATATGTATATATATACAAAACTCCTAGCGCGTATATGCGTCTCTCGACCGGCGAAAGTAGGCCTTGTTCAAATGTTCATAATTTCGATCCAAGGGAGCACTTCACCTCGCACACCTCGCCACCATGTTTTTTCCGTTTTTCCCCATTTTCTCTCCCCTTCTCGGCCGATCTAGAGTCCCTAGGAAACTTTCGTTTTAGACAGTCGGATGAACCGGAGGTCGGCCCACTGAAGTGCGCGCCTCCACCTTATCCTAGACGATACGCTGGCCCTACTACGATGATAACGTTGTATACATATAAAAAAGCATTTATCGACAGTTCGAATTGAGAGTGCGCCGCCCATTCGCGATACAATGTCATATATCTACATTTATACCGTGTATATGTATAATATATATACGTAATATATATAATATATATATACCATCCGTATTTATATGTATATCGACCGATTAGCCCTATGTACATCGCCTCGTAGGTCTCTAATCACGCACCCTTAAAAATATCTCCCGAATGCTCTCTTTGCCGCGACCCCCTCTTTAAAGAGGCGCTCCGAAGACCTAAAGGACCGATTTTCCTCTAATGGCAGCACGAGAGCGTCATCCAGCACCCATCAACGTCATCGTCGAGCCTCGAGGTCCCCCCGATGAGGGAACCAGGAAATAAGTCCGCGAGCAACTCGAGGATCGGCTCCGTCAGCTTAGACTACGACTTTACAAAATGTCCACCAGGAGGTAAAATGTTCGCCATCTTCGCCTCGAGCAGGGGCTCGACACTTCGGCGACGACGAGTGGGGTTGGCGATGCACGAATCCGTCATCCAGGCGATGCCGGGCTAGGTTGAGTCCAGTCGACCCTGAAGAGGACCCCGAAGAGGACCCTGAAGAGGACCTCGAAGGGGGCCCCACCTCTCCAGGAGAGACGGAGGGAGATCGTCCTCGGGGGCAGTCCATGATCGGTAAGTCACCAAGGCCTCCACCTGGACACATCACGGTCGTGGACACTTCAAGGTCTGCGTGGACCTTGAGGAGGACCTTGCGCGGGGCTGTCGGTCAGGGAAGGGGAAGGGCGAGCTCCGACCTGGGCCTTGAAGAGTCCATCACCGTCCCTCCAGGTCGGGCCCCTCGCCTCCCCTCTTCCTGGCTTCGTCTCTGACGTGGTCAAGGTCGGATCCCAGGGCACTTCATGCTCGTTGCGATCACGAGTCGTGCCTGTGCGTCCTGTTGCGCCTGTTGCCGCTCTTCCGCCTCTTCCTCTTGGTGTCCCTGGTGAACGCCACGTTCCCAGGGTCGTCGGCCAGCTGGGGGTACCGGTGCACGCTGTGGATGTCCACGCCCTCGTATCCGTCTATGCTCCCCCTGCTGATGAGCTCGTCCTTCTCCTCCTTGGTCCACTCCCCACGACCCTGAAACCCGGCCACGACGAGCTGCTTCTCGATCTCCCATGCCCGCTCCACGGCCCTCTTGTGGGCGTGCTTCAGGATCCTGTGTCTCTCCTGCTCAGGGTCGGTCCCGTACTTGATGACCACCGCTGCGTCGGGGTTGTGCAGTCTCAGCTCCTTCGAGGTGCCCGACCCGTGCTCGGTGGTCTCATGGGTGGACACGTTGAACATGCCCCCCAGCCTCTTCAGCTCCTCCATGTCGTCTCTGATCTTCAGGGCGTTGTCCTTGACGAAATAGAACACGTCCTGGTCGTGCACGCTGAAGTGCAGCGGCAGGAAGTAGGAGTTGTTGAAGACCGAGGTCACCACGTCCTGGACCACGCTGTTGACCCCGTCGACGACGCTGACCAGCGCTCGGCCTCCGACCCTGGACACTAGGATGCCCTCCCCAAAGACGGCCCTTCTGTGGGCGACCCTGGGTAGCAAATTCCTCGTCTTAGGCTCTAGCTTCAGCAACGGCTTCGGCACGAAACCCAGGTCGGAGAACTTCTCGTGCACCCTGTTGACTATACACTGGAGACCGGACATGACTCCAAATTCTGGGGTCAGCTGGGGGGAGGTTATGGTAGCGCTGGGCTGGTACACCATGTCCTTGGTGTACTCTGACCCCAACATGCTGCCGATGTCGTATCCGTACAACTTCAGCCAGCTGGACAGATCCGTCATGTACTCGACGGTCTGCTTGGAGTTGACCGGGTCGTTGTTCCTGAAGCGGTAGATGAAGATGTCGGTGGGGGTCGTCAGCTCGTTCGCCATCTGCTCCCAGGCCGGGGTCATCCATTGGCCGACGGTGGGGTCGTAGAGTCGTTTGTTCAGGTACACCAGCTTGGTGTTGGGGTCCAACAGACCCCCGTGGAAGTCGATGGGCAGGTAGAAGTCAGGGTTAGTGTCCTTGATGATCTTCCCGAAGGGGGTCCTCCTCATCTCCTTGATGAGGTTCCCATTCGTGTCGAACAACGCCAGCGGGGAGCCGTTCTGATCCGTGGCCACGTAGAACCTCTGCTCCGAGGTCTCCACCGTCATCAGGAAGTCCCGGGAGTCGTAGAGGAACCTGAAGGTCTTCGACGACTTCGGGAAGTGCACGTGGGTGATCAGGTCGGGGGTCTTGGGGTTAGCGTAGAAGAACTGGGTGATGTTCTCCCGGTCGTCGTTCCAGGAGACCAGCCGACCTCGGTCGTCGTAGAAGTACCAGATCTGGAACTTCTTGTGCTCCGATGCGTGGATCAGCTGACCCCTGGAGTTGTACCGGTACCGGTGTTCCCCTCTTATGACGACGAACCCTCTCCCGTCGTACGAATTGAACTCCACGTCGCCATATTGGACCACCCTATCACCGCTATCATACCCTAGAGTGATCTTCTCGTTGTGCTCGGTCACCCCAATGATGTTCCCATTCTCGTCGTAGGCGTACTGCCAATTGTTGTCGGTGTCCGCCACCTCGAGGACGTGGCTATCGGCGTTGTACGTGATCTTGTCCATCCTGGACCATTCCTTCTTCTCCATGGACTCCTTCCCGATGGTCAGCTTCCTCAGCTTGATGCGGTTCCGGTTGTCGTACTCCAGCTCCATCCTGAAGACGTCCAGCGACCGGATGTTCATCAGCACCGTCTTCACCCGGCCGTGGTCGTCGTAGTCCGTCACCGTGAAGAACTGTTTGCTGCTGTCTTGCATGACCGATCTGTTGAAGAGGTTCCTGTAGATCCGCAGGTCCCCGACGCCTTCTAGAACCCCCAGGTTCTGGTTGTACTTCAGACGTAGTTGGGGGAGCTGCTTCCCGTTTATGTCCACCTCTATCCCGGATATCCTGGCGTTCCCGTCGTACTGGTACCGGTAATGTGCATTGTCCATTCCACTTTTGCTACCGAACTTGATCTTCTCATCCTTTACTATTCCAGCGTGGTACTTGTACTCGATCCTCATTTCGAAGTTGGGCTCATTGATGTCGATGCTGCGCACCAGGCTGGACGTTTCCTGATAGGTGTAATGGATGGACGACAGACCTGGAAGAAGGGAAACGTTGGGGTTACTCTTCGGCATCTTTTAGGAAGCTCTTGGGATGGGCGCAATTGAAATTGATCCTGATCTTAGTATTCATTCCAGATTTAAGGGGATGGGGAAGTGGCATGTGAAGGATCAATCGTCTCTTCATGCTTATTTTTTAACTGGGTGTACCGAATCGTTTCATATTTTACATTATAAATATAGAGGGTATAAGGAAGGTCCGACACCCGGGAAATTTCATTTTTCCTAAATATTTGTAAAAATGTCTATGAACAATAAATTGAGATTTTATGGGTGTCCGGACCTTACTAACTATCTCCGGATTTACATTGTTAAGTTTGAAAGTACTCGGACACTTAATTCAGAGAAAATGTTTATAAAAGAGACTTCTTTGACCCCACTTTCACATCGCCTTAATATGCAAATGATGCAAATGTTGGGGTTACTCTTCGGCATCTTCTAGGCAACCCTTTGGATGGGCGCAATTGAAATTGATCCTGATTCCAATATTCATTTCATATTTTACAATATAAATATAGATGGTATAAGGAAGGTCCGACACCCGGGAAATTTCATTTTTCACATATTATATGGATTAGCGCAATTGGAATTCATTTTGATTTCAATGTTCATTCCAGATTTAAGGGGATGGGAAAGTGGCTCTTCAATTAAATAGGTACTTCAGCATTAAACGTAATTAATGCTGCCCATCCCAGGTAGAAGATTCTCTAATTCTACCTATGCACTTACCAGCCAGGGTGGTCTCCAGCTTCCCTGTATGGTCATAGACGTAGGCGACCTTCCCGCTTTGATGGGGATACACCTTGGCGAGGATCTGGCCGTCGTCGTTGTATAGAATCTCGTAAGGATGCCTGTTCATCGGTGAGTAGTACTGATATTTGTAGAACCCAAGGGACGTCTGCAAAGAGAACGCATGGATGTGCCCCCTAGGAGTGGTGAGCGACTGCAGCGCCCCCGCCTCGTCGTACTGAAGAAGATAATCGCTCCCCCTAGGTGTGGTGACTTTCAGAGGCAAGCTGCTGAACATGTCCTTAAAGGCGTATATCATGGAGGTGCCGTCGCTATACTTGATCTCGTACAACCTCCCAGCTCTGTCGAACCCATAGGTCTCGCTGATGTCGCCCCAGGTCCAGCTGGTGAGCCTGCTGAACCTGTCGTACTCGAGGTCGACCCCGGCGAAGAGGCCATTCCTGGGTCCCCACTTGACGGGTCTCGCAGTCCTGTCATAGGTGACATTCAGCAGCTCCACCCGGTCGTCCATGAAGACCGCGACGGTGTTGGTCTCCCTGTCGTACTCCAGACTCAAGAGGACCTCGCCGTTCACCCTGAGCTTGCGACCTACCTGGGCGATGGCCTTGGAGTTCCCCCGATTCTTGCTGTTCCCACCTTGCACCTTCCTCAGGAAGTACCTCCACTCGAAGCGGTTCGCAAGGTCTCCAGCGATCTCGGTCCTTTGTTTGGCAGGGACCGGGTAGCTCTCACCCAGAAGAGGCTCCGTCTCCGCCAGGATGGAGTACGGCATGGTGTCGGTGCTTACCGTGTGGGTCCAGGGTGTGACCCTCTCCACGCTACCGTCTGCAAGAACGATGGTCCTTTGTTCTGCCTCCCCAACCTTGGTCACCACCGAGGAGCCCTTGATCAGCATGGACACCGGCTTCCGGTTGTTCTGGCCCACCTTCACGGTGGCTCCCTTCAGGCTCAGGTCAAACGTCAAACTGATGACTTTCCCTGTCGGGGTAACCGCCGTTGTCAGTCTCCCAAACTCGTCGTAGTTGTAGACGTAGCTTCTCCCGGTACTGTCCAGCTTCGTCTTCAGCAACCCGGTGGGTCCGTGGTAGTCGAAGGTCACGTTGTAGTTGTCCGGCGTGCTCAGCTCGTGCAGCATCTTCATCCTGGACATCCTCAGCCGGCACTTCTGGCCCTTCGTGTTCTCTATGGAGTTTACCTGGCTGGAGTAGTCCCTGAGGAGGAACACCTTGTTCCCGGCGGCGTCGGTCACCGTGCTCAGCTTCCCGTTGCTCGTGTTCACGTTGTACGCGAACAGGTAGTTGGTCTCGCCCGTCAGGATGTTCTTCGTGGCGATGTGCTGGCCAAACCTGTTGAACACGTAAATCTCCTGGGTGTCCGGCGAGTAGATCTCGTATTCCCTGGCGCCGCTGGCGTCGGGGATGCTGGCCATCACCGAGCGGATCCTGTAATTCGCCTGGTCCCCGATGTGGACCACCCCATCCGGGGAAACCGCGACGGCCGATATGGTGTTGAACTTGGAGGTCGACGCCAGGTAATGGTCGGCTTCGTAGCAGTCGCACCCACGCTCTAGACAATTGCACTTGGACTCTGCTCCGGCGTACGGGGAGATCTTCCCATCGGTACCGATCACCCTGACCCGGTTGATCCTCTGCGAGTCGCTCTCGGCGATGTACAAGTTCCCGGAGGGTCCGAAGGCGATGCTCTGCGGCATCACCAGCGTAGCGTGGGTCGCAAGCTCCGTGTCGAAGGTCGAGGTCGGCGATGCACAGTGCAGAGGTCGACCAGCGACCACCTTGACCCTGCCATCCGGAGCCAGCTGGAGAACCATGTGGTCGTCGATCATGTGCAGCGAGTTGTCCAGGGGATTGATCGCCAATTCCGTCGGCCACCTCAGGTGGACCTCTTCGACGTTCAACGTGCCCTCGCAGGGGATCGGCTTCCAGTGGGACTTGTGCATGTGGTTCCCGATCACTGTCGTGATGATCCCGTCCCGGTCGACCATCCTGATGTTGGTCCCGTCCGCGAAGTACAGGACGTTGTCTGCCGAGACCGCTACACCTTTTGGATAGGCCAGTTTCGCGTCTCTTGCAAGTGCCCCGTCCCCACAGTGCGCCTCGTCCCCTGGGAGGCAACGTTCCCCGGAACCGACCACCGTTTCCCAGTTGTGGTCAGGGTCCGAGTAGTCGCTGGTGTCTCTTACGCGGATGATCTGGTGGGATTCTGGGTCCGAGATGTAGAGCGATCCGTCCAGGGGACTCAGGGCGATGTGGTACCGGTAGGACACCCTGGTGGCGCTGTAAACAGTGGATAAAAATCATTGAAGTGGAGCTTTTCAGATATTATATCAAGGTGTTTTACCGAGACGAGGATATGACGTAGAATATGAAGAGTAGCTCGAAGAGTACTCACTTAAGGCGGACCACAGTCCTGACCGTCCCATCGACCAGGATTTTGCGGACGAGGTTGAAGTCTCCCACGAAGATGGACCCGTCAGGTGCGGTGGCCAGGGCGACAGGTGCAAGGAGCCTCTGCTTGGAGGCCTGTCCATCGCAATCGGAGCACTCCAGCGGTCTCTGATGCCCATCTCCCATGGTGGTCAGGATGACCCGGGGCTTATGCTTAAGATAAATGTTCGAGCCATCTCCCTTTTGCAGGATCCCCTCGTGGAAGTTGTATCTGTGGTGGATGTCGAGGTTCCAGCCGCCGACCTCGGAGATGGACATGTCGTGGCCGCTCAGCTTCGTGGTCTGCACGTCCCAGATGATGTCCTTGCAGTCGCTGTACTCGTACCCGACCTTGACCATGGCCGTGGTCACCCCGTAAACCCTCTGGCGGTAGACGTTGAGTCGGTTCCAGGCGTAGGTGAACTTGATCACCGGGTCGGCTTCGAAGACCTTCTCGAAGAGGATGCCCTCGATGGTGATTCGCAGGTGGATGAGGTTCAGGGATGGAGGAATGACCTCGGGGGTCAGCTGCAGCTGGATCGTCGACAGGTATCCTGCGGCTCTTGAGCTGTGGTACACCAGGTTCAGGCCTGTCCCAGGGATCTGAAGGCTCTCCTGGATCACCTGGGACTCCGCTAGGATGGCACTTTTGTCGGGACAGGCTCCTTGGAAGCCGTGCTTCCAGGTCGCCAGGACCACCGGCTTCATCAGGTCGTAGTCGTGCGTCGCGCATGCGTGCGGGACGTGCGTCAAGGGCTTCTCGTCCATGGTGCTCATGATGATCTTGTCGATGATGACGACCTTGAAGAGGATTGGGTTAATTTAGATATGTTTCTTTTTTATTCAGGATTAGGTAATGCGGCATGGCCTTTCGAATAATTATTTAGATATCATCCTCGGGAATTTCTCTAGTTTGAAATGATTATTTAGAAATAATTCCCACGCATTTAAGATATATATATAATTCTCACATTTTAAACACTTAATAAGAAATAATGCTCTCGTTTCGAATAAATAATAAGAAACAGTTCTCTTTTTGCAGGTAACTACTAAAGAGCATTTTCGTTTCAAGAAATTAAAAAAAATATATTTTAATAAGAAATAATTCTCTCCTTTCAAATAATTAATAAGACGTAATTCTTTCATTTCAAATACTGAATAAGAAATAATTCTCTCGTTTAAAATAAATAATAAGAAACAACTATCCCCTTGCAGGCAATTACTAAGGAGGACTTTTCTCGATTCAAAAAATTAAGAAAAAAAATAATTAAAAAAATAATAAAATATTAATACAAAATAATTCTCTCGTTTCGAACAATTCATAAGAAAACACAATGAATTGGAGAACACCTGGAGAACCTTATTTGACCTCACCTCGTTCCAGGGGACGAAGACGATGTGGCTTTGGGGCTTAAAGGGCGACCTGCCGAATTGAAGAGTCACGGCTCCTCCACCGTTCACCAGGAGGTCGAACCAGCCATCGTCTCTCGTCAGGGTGAAGCCTTCCAGAGGCGTGCTGGTGCTCACCCTGACACCCATCAACCCGGTGCCAAGAGAGGTCACCACGCGACCTCGGACCACGGCTGAACGGCTGCCAAAGGGAAGGACAATTAGCAAGGAACCTCGAGTTGTTTTTTTGGAACTACTACCACAAATCACTACGACACTCGCCGATGCACCTCCTCGAGGAGTATTATTCCTCCTGACCCGAGTTGTAATTTTGATTCTACTTGGAACCTCTGTCTTCAAATAATTCATAAAGGGGAAGTTCAATGAAGTTGAAATCCTACTTTGCGTAGGAAAAAAATCGGATAAAAATTGGATAAAATTGTTTCGCTGAAATTGGTATCGCTTCGGAGCGAAAAATATTTCGGTTGAGCGAGTCGAATTTCATTTCATTCATTTTCGTTCATTCATTAATTTCATTCATTTATTTATTTCATTAATTTATTTCATTCATTCATTTTCGTCCATTCATTAATTTCATTCATTTTCGTCCATTCATTAATTTCATTAATTTTCGTTCATCCATTGATTTCATTCATTGATTTCATTCATTTTCATTCATTCATTTATTTCATTCATTTTTGTTTATTCATTAATTTCATTCATTCATTTTCATTCATTATTTCGTTCATTTGACGAAACTTGTTTGCTCCATTTAACTAAAAGATTTTGGTTAAACAGTTTGGTAAACTTTGAAGTTCAACAATATTTCAATTAATATTATTAGTCCATTTGATTTCAAGTACCTCATTTTTGCCTCAGTGTGTCGAAATAGCTCCGTGATCAAAGGGTTAATATTCCTATTAAGGGGATGTGAAAGTGGCATCCGAAAGCTCAATCGTTCATAAAACTTTCCTACGAACAGTTTTCTATGAAATTTCATTTTTTATAAATTATTTTAAAAATACCTATAAACAAATTAGAAAAGAATTGAAATTCCATGAGTTTCAGGACCTTCCTTATACTCTTCCTATTCACGTTGTAAAGTATCAAACTATTCGTTAAACCGAGTTGGGGGGAAAGTTGTATAAACAAAACCTCTTCGACGGGACTTTCACATCACCTTAAGTATGACAGATGGACCGGAAGGTAAGCAAGACATGTCTCTTTCGATACTCAGGTACAAAGTAGAGTGAAAATCAGAACTCGGGGAGGCGCAACATCGGCCGACCTCGACCAACAGTCGAAGAGGTCGGTCTCTGATATCCATATAGAGGACACAACACGATTACGAGTAACACAAAGTCGGAAGCTCAACTGAAAGACCACGAACCACATAACGAAGGAATAAGGAAACTTAACCATGCAACGAGTAACGGTGTAAACAGTGAAGGCTAACGGTAAGGTTCATCAAGTAGTGCCAGCTCGCATGAAACGGCCTCTAAACTGACTCTTCGTCCAGGTCGGATCGCGAATTTAAAATCCACCTTATCTCTTATCGCACCGCGTATGCAACGCAAGGACCCGCGAGATGCAGCACAGCTACTTCCGTCAAACTCGAACTACGAAATGATGAGGCTTCGTTCCTCTCGAAATTAGCGACCTCGTTTCTTACCTGGTGTTGAAGTGATTCCAGAACACACTGATCGAGCAGCAAGGATAAAACAGAGCCCAGTTAAAATGGTGTGTTAAGGGAGAGAAGAAGAGAGAATCGAGTCCCGGGGGGGTGGGGTTTAGGAGGGGTGCGAGCGGGGAAATGCATTAATATAACATACAGCTCTCCTGTACACAGGGTGAGGCGGTGAAGCATTATCAATTTATAGGTCGGAAGCGAAACATCTTTTAGAAGAATCTATCGTGCAAAAGTTTCATTTCATGTAAGGGAACCCGAGGAGTCACCGTTGGTTCGATCTCGGACGGTTTGAAGACCATATGAAGGCCACTTCCGGTCTCTCGAAGGAAAATCTGGATTTTTCAATGGATATTCTTCAAGCTTATCTCGAGAGCTTTCAAATGAACTATAATAACATAGGTTTTCGTTGAGTACTTTTTGAGTTATGACGGTTTAATGCCGCGGGCCGAACTCGGTAGAGCTCCGCGCCAAGTACATTCGAGCGGTTTGAGATACACCGCGTGGAGGTCGTTGGAATCTCTTAGTGACTCGAAACGTACTTAACGAAGGGAAGATTCGAGGGTTTAGATGTGACTTTTTTTCCATGAAACCTTTGTACGAAAGATTTCCTCTCCGAAGTGCCTCGTTTTCGAAGTATAGGTACACGGTACTTCTCCCGACTCGCTCGGTGTAACGTTTATATACTATTTTCCACTAGGCAGAGAAAGTGAGAGAGAGAAAGAGAGAAAGAGTAGAGCCGAAGAGAAGGAGGCCTGTCAAGACCGGAAGTGTACGAGCGCCCGTGGAAACCTATCTCGGCCGCGATCAGCTGATTCGACCCTACCGCGTCGTCATAGATTTTCATCTTCCCCCATAAAGCACATGGCTCGTACATGGATTCGCACACATTCACGCAAGCTCCACTCGGTCAGGTGACAGGTTCGCGTAGAGACGAGGAGTCCCGATATATCCAGGGTACAGGTGAGAGGAGACATGTCGCGCATATGTATACATGTCCGGATATAGAGACGGGGAGTGCAGGGCACACACTCGCGCACACGTACGTAGAAAACATATGTACAAAACTGTTGGGATGTGATTTCACACGGGTCACAACAACGCAGAGAATATCATATATATCTATGCACCTGTGTCCCAGTGTCTAGGCGCGCGCGCGCGAACAGGTACACCAGGGTACTCGGCAGAGTCCCGCGCCAAGTACATTTCGACCGAGCGCACGGTACGTATGTACACTGGGAGACATCAATGCCCTCCCATCCTGCACAGGCGATGCCGTATCTGCAGGGGAGGCATTCATGTCCGCCATTGTACACTGGGAGATATCAATGCCCTCCTATCCTGCACAGGCGATGCCGTATCTGCAGGGGAGGCATTCATGTCCGCCATTGTATATATTTACGGTGTATATGTATATATATACGGGGAGACGTCGTCGGCGCCGTGAAACCTATCCGGAAGGACCTGGGTTCTCCAGCAAAGATTCTCCGCTCCTCTTCAGGTACGCCCTAGGTTAGAGGGTAGTCCTCGAGGGTGCTCACCTTTCGTTGAAGGTCTCCTGGCGAGCGTAGTTCTGCAGACTACCCTCGTCTATGAGGAACTTCATCCTTTCGAAGAAGGAGGCCGTTATGGCGGGCGGCTGCTTCCTCAGCAACACGTCGATCGGCTTCGGGGCGGAGACGCAGAGCTGGCTGCTCCTGCAGATGTGGTTGCTGCAGCACTCGGGGTCGGCGCAGTCGACGAGACCATCTGAGGAAGAGAGGACCCCGATTAGCATCTTCTACGACCTCGAATAGACCCAGGGGATCATATATCGCGTTATCCAGAAAGTCAGGAAATTTCTGCCGTTAAGGGGATGCGAGAGGTCGATCTTTCGTGACACTTTTCTTCAAACTGAGTGCACCGAATCCTTTTAAAGCTTTCGACGTGAATGTGGGGGCTGTACGGAAGGTCCGGAAACCCATGAAATTTCATTTTTAATGAAACATTTCTTAAATACCTATAACATTTTTTAAATATTCAAATTTTTTACGGCTGTCAGGACCTTCCATATAGCTTTTATGTTCACGTTGTTAACTTTGAAATAATTCGATACACCTGGTTTAGGAAAAACTTTCATAAATGAGATCTCTTCGCCTTAAGGCGATGAGAAAGTGGCGTTAAAGAGCTTTCGTTTATGAACCTTCTCTATACACTGGATATACGGTTTCAAACTTAACAATGTGAATATAAAGGCTGTAAGGAATGTGACACATAACATTTCAGATTTTTTAAAATTTGTTTATAAATTTTTTCAACATTATTTATAAGAAATGAAATTTCACGAGTGTCAGGACCTTCCTTATAGCCTCCATGTTAACGTTGTAAAGTTTGAATCGCTTCGGTACGCTCAGTTCGTACGAAAGTATAATGAACAATTGACCCCTCGGATGCCACTTTCACACCCCCTTAAGCCAGTTTTAAAAAGACACTTTTAATGAACGGCACTTAGCGGAATTGCCTGAAACTTCGGAAGATGAAACACGAGACCTAGAGGGAAGTCTCGTTACGTTCGAAATTAGAATTTCGAAAAGAATGCCTGGAGAAATAAATTCGGTTTACCGAGGCCGATCAAGTTGCTCGACTTCAGGGTAAAGTTTCGTCCCTCCACTTTGAAGAGCAACTATCGCAATGACTTTCTGGACAATTGACCAGGTTGTTCCTGAACTCCGGGGGTACCTTTATCGTTGTCCCTGCCGTCGTTGCAGTTCTGCTCCAGGAGGACGCTGCAGTCCTTCCCGTCCCAGCCGTCGTAGCAGCGACACTCCCATTGGGCATCGGCGTTGACCTTACACTGGCCATGTCCCGAACATGCATTAGGACATCCCTCCATGGTACAGTGCTTCCCATTCCAACCTGTGACACAGAGGCAGGTGCCGTTTTTGCACTGGCCGTGCTCGTTGCACCTGGGGTCGCATTGCTTCAGGTTGCACAGCTCCCCGGACCAGCCGGTAATGCAGTCGCAGGCGTTATCAACGCAGTGCCCGTGGGGGCCGCAGTCCAGGTCGCAGAGTTCTGGAAGAGACGCAGAGACATGGTTACAAGTCTACCAGGTATTAACGTCAGGTCAAAGAAACGTCCATGAAATTTTGAATTTCAATATTTCTTTATAAACAATTTTTGTATTTTTTCCAGTNATTTCTTTATAAACAATTTTTGTATTTAAAAAAATGAAATTTTACGGAGTTCTGGGAGAGACGCAGAGACATGGTTACAAGTCTACCAGGTATTAACGTCAAGGAGACGTTCATGAAATTTTGAATTTCAACATTTCTTTATAAACAATTTTGTATTAAAAAAAAAAAAGAAGTTTTGCGGAGTTCTGGAAGAGACGCAGAGACATGGTTACAAGTCTAAAACGTATTAACGTCACGTCAAAGAGACGTCCATGAAATTTCAATTTCAAAATTTCTTAAGCGAGCAGCGCGTTATTCCTTAGGGCCTCCATAATCACGTGTTAAAGGTTTCAGATAATTCGGTGGATCCAGTTTAGCAAAAGCTTTTATAAACATTTTGACTTTTTGTTACGTACATAAATATCACACTTTCATATCACCTTAACCCTTCGGCTACTAAGAACGACTAAAGGCGCCTGACGTTAGGTCCAATATTGCCTGCACGGTCATACGAATTTCGCCCATATGTCGAAATGGTTCCGTGTTAAAAGGGTTAAGAGACCTCGAAGAGTACGACGAGGGTATAGAAGAGGATGGTGCCGAACCTTTGGAGCAGTCGTCGCCGGACCAGAGAGGCTCGCAGAGGCATGTCTGCGTCTCCAGGTCGAAGTTGCCATGTCCGGTGCAGTCGGGCAAGCACTGCAGGGCCTCCTTATCCATCTGGCTGCAGTCTGCACCTTTCCAGCCCTTCTTGCAGATGCAGCTGCCCTCGGCGCAGAATCCGTGCCCCGAGCACGTGGGGTGCGGACAGTCCACCTCCTCGCAGAACTTTCCCTTGTACCCGCGGACGCAGTTGCACTTTCCGTTGGTGCAGTGGCCGTGCCCGTTGCAGTCCGGGACCTCGCACTCGTCATGTCGAAGAGAGCACTCTTTTCCCTTCCACCCGGGGTTGCATTGACACTCGCCATTGATATACTCTCCTCTTTGGCTGCACAAAACGGGGCATACGCTCTCGCTGCAATCTTCACCCCCGAAACCAGGGTTGCACTGACAATGGCCCAGGAGACACTCGCCCTTGCCGCTGCATCCGTTGGGGCAGTTGTGGGTCATGTCCTCGGCTACGATGGCGATGAAGGCCACCTCCTGGGGGTCCCCGTCGTCGTTGTACAGAGAGAGGAACCAATGGCCGGGCTCCATGTAATGCGTTACCTCCTTCTTGATGGATGGCTGCTTTGGGAACAATTAATTAATAATTAATATCATTGTAATTTCATGATGGTACATTTTGAGGACACGTACACACTGTTAAAAAAAGATATGAAAATTTTGTAACATGTTGGTTGGAGGTTTCATTCAGACATGGTGTACTAATTTTATAACATATGTGTAATCAATTTATGAAATGTGTCATAAATTTAGTACACGAGTTTAACAATTTTCCCACGTAATTCTGCAAACTTTCAATGTCACCAAATTGTAAGTTCATTTCGAAATGTGTGGTATAAATGTGTGGTAATTCACTTTTAGGATATGAAATGTGTAATTCAACTACAACCTTATGTACTAAAAGGGCATGAATTTTATGAATATTTTTAAAAAGTGCATGTTCGTAATATGGATATTTATTCTTTTTAGGGTATAGGAAGAGGCTTCAATGCACTTTAGATTGGTTTGGTCAAACGTTGAAGAAGATGCCGAGGAACAGCCAGAAGTGGTGAAAAAGGACCAACACACGAGATTCCGAAGAGAATACCGAGGAACGGATAGAAACGACCTAAATGAAAAGGAACCACACAAGACCTTGAAGAGGACATTGAGGAACTAGCAGAAATTACGAAGCAGGACAGACACACAGAATACTAGTACGCGATAGGTGAACCGATAAAGAGAAACGGACGGAAAAGGCGAAAAAGGACCAACACGTGAGATCTTGAAGAGGATGTTGAAGAATGGACGGGGATGTGGAAGGAAATGACACACACATCCACAGTGACATGGAACACTCTAGGGGGGCGACTTTGAAGAGGATAGCGAGGGACTGACGGAAGCGGCGAAGAGAAGTACACGTAAGGTCTTGAAGAGGATGTCGAGGAGCCAGGAGAAATGGCTAAACAGGAGAAACACATATGATACTAACATGTGAGGCCCTGGTGGTGCGAGCTTTGAAGCCGCTAAGGACCTCCAGGAGGTCGTACTGCGTGTGCGTGGGCAGGGCGTTCCTTCGTGCGTAGACGCCGATGCTGGCACCACGAGGGATGCTGTAGTCAAAACGAACGTATGCAGCCTCCGATTGGTAAAACTGCATGTTCCAGTACCCATAGGGTGGGATTTCCATGCTGAGTCGCTGGCCGAGGGCGACTTGAGCAAAAGTCGTGCCATCCGGAGGGAAGGACCTCGCTGGGAAGGTCCTTGCACCTGAGGAAAAATCCAAAATGAGGACCCAACTCCGCGGATGTTGCGACCACCCGGGTGCAACATCTATCTGTAATGACTCCATTGTTCCTATCTGTTGACTCTTATTCATCTTTTCATGACCATTTCGTGCCGCCTACTCTACTTCCAGGTTGGCCCCAAGAGACTATAGCTCCCTATCGGAGTCCTCTCCTCAGGGTGCTCTTCTAGGTCGGTACCGGTGGTTAATCGACTATTACTTGGGATCTAGTTACGTCTAATAGATACGTCTACGGTTATCAAGACCTAGGGGTGCGGGGTGTAAAGAGACAAGCTACCAAGCGACATCGAGTACAAGCCAAAGAGGGTCCAGCAGAGAGGAGACTTTATTCCCAGGGTTAGTTACACAGAAAAGGGTGCCGACTAACACTCAACACATTTAGTGACTTACGTGGTTCTCACTAGAGGTGTTAACCCGGGATGTCGGATTTCCCCTCACCGAGGTCGGTGATAGGGAATCCGGAAGCCTGAACCTCGTACAGGGTGAATCCGACTAAAGGTTTTATCACTCATACATGTGATAAACTGATCATGCGAGGTCGTTATCCCTGATTTACTGTTCACCGAGTCTCAATGAAGTATCTCTATTGAACCTCTATATCCTCTAATCTTCTGACCCTGTATCGATAACTGACGTTATGAATTTAGAACATATCTTATCAGTTTCATTTGGAAATATTTTAGAAAATTAGTACTAGGATAAACATCGCAGATAATGTCTAGGTCAGGGTTTCACGCCTCTCTGTATATATTTGGCGCGAAACTCTACCGAGTTTCTTAATCGAATATCTGAATGAAATTGCTTTGTTTCATTAAAGTTATAAATTTTGAGCATATGTTATCAGCTTCCTTTGGAAATATCGTAGGTATTTATTACCAGGCTAAACATCGCAGATAATGACTATATTTTGAAAATTCAAATTTCGAAAGTGGCAGGATAATTCCTCGGTGTTCACGAGTCATGTGTCAAAGTTTTAAACGATTTGGTTCAATACTCTAAAAAAAAAGAAATGTTTATTTGGATCGACTGATTTGAGGGGGGTTTCACTTAACCTACTAAGAGCGCCAAAGGCGCCCGACGTTAGGTCCAATATTGCCTGCACGGTCAGACGAATTTCGCCCGTACATCTAAATAGCACCGTGTTCAGGGTGTTAAAGATTTTGTACGATTTGTGGTACCAGGTCGGATTCACCATGCAGAGTGGAGTGAGAGCATAAGAGAACACGCGGCCTCACCTTCGAGGATGAGAATAGTGGGTTCTGGAGGAAGCGGCGTGGTGCACCAGGACGCATCTTCGCTGAAGACGGAGGTGACCGAGGAGGAGTCGAGGGAGTCGTTCCCGGGACTAAGGGAGGGTACCGATCTCGTGGAAGTCTCTTGAGCCTCCTCTTCGAGGCGGCCTTCAGAGGTGCTTAAAATGGGCGCCCTGGTCTCCACTTCCTCAGGCTGTTCCTCGAAGAGCTCCTCCTCGGTCAGGGTGGCATTATCCCCGTCCAGGTCGGCAAGACCGTCTGGAAAGTTGTCCCTTTCGTCAGAGTCCAGACAAGGACAGGAGCATTCGCACTCGCCCCCGCTCCAGGGTGGAGGGGGCGAGGCGGGAGGCCTCGGCGGGGGCGGTAGGGGTTCTTCGGCAACCTCTTCGGCAACTGGTCCGGCATTTTGGTGCGCCACCACAGGGGCGATGTTGATCTCCGGCAGGAAGTTCGACTCTCCGGTGGGTACGGACACGGAGAGCACGTAGATGGGCTCCGAGGACCTCGAAGAGCCGGTCGAGGTCTCCGCCGAGATGGTCAGGTTCACCAGCAGCCGTCTACCCTGAAGAGCTTCCACTTCTACGGTCTGGACCTCTGGAGGACGCGGAGGTTCGGCCACGACTTCGGGGTTTCGTCGGGAAGGGGGTGTGGTTGATGATAGAGGGGTGCGCGAGGTCGCCTCATCGTCATCGTAGTCCTGGACCGGTACCTTGTGGAAGCGCTCCTCGAACTCCCTCAGGAACTCCTCGTCGTTCCCCTCGCGCATGATCACCCGGAGGTCTGCTCTTTCTCGGTCTTCAGGGTCTGATTGGTGTTTGGAGAACCGCTCTTCCTCGCTTTTATGGCTCGAGCCAGGGTTCGGATGTTTTCCGATCACTTCAGGGTCTTGATGAAGCTTTATTATCTCCACCTCGTCCTGGTTGAAGGTGTAAATCGGGACCGGGTAGTCCCGCTGGAGCTCTTCGGATCCCTCGGGATCCTTCGCCACGATTTCGGGGGATTCCGCCGAAGACGAGGAACGGGATAGCTCCCCGGTCTCCTTTATCACCCCCGAGTCATGGAGCACGCTCTTCAGGGATTCATCCTTGGACTCGGAGGCGCCCTTTTTTACGACCCCGATGGCCTCTTCCGGAGGCTTGACAAGATCGACTTCTTCAGGTTCCGTCGTTCCTTTTCCGACATCCGCTCTTCTGGTACCGGGCTCAGAGGATTCGGCTTCGGTAAGCCCAGCTTTCGCATTTTGCTCTTCATCTTTCCCTTCAGAGGTCGCTTTATTCGTAGTAAAACCTCCGTCTTCAATCGTGGACATTGTTTCTTCGGTACTAGAATCCATTTTAGTGGTCCCAGAGTTTTCAAGTTCGGTGACATCGGTTTTAATACCTGAAGTCGACGTACCGATCGACTCTTCAGGTACCTCCACGTTCAAGGGACCATCTTGAACCATCCCAAAATCTTTCTCAGCGACCTCTTCATCTTTAACATTGGGTGGTACCAAGGTTTCCATTTTGGTATCATCAACAGTGGACGTCTTCCATTCCTCTTCGCTCTTCGGCAGGTCATCAATGGACTCTTCAGGTACCTCCACGTTCAAGGGACCATCTCGAACCATCCCAAAATCTTTCTCAGCGACCTCTTCATCTTTGACATTGGGTGGTACCAAGGTTTCCATTTTGGTATCATCAACAGTGGACGTCTTCCATTCCTCTTTCCTCTTCGGCAAGTCTTCAGAGTCTCTATTAGCGGATCCAGTACTCCTATTTTCAGGGCCTTCTTCGGACTTGCTCACAAGTTCGAGGGACTTATTCGTCACTATTTCAACGTCTTCAGCTCCGGAGGGACTGACCTCGAAGGGACCAACAGGAACCGTGGATTCCCCATAAAGTGTGCGGTAACCAGAAGCAGACACCAAGGAGGGATCAAGGTGGAAAGATTCAAGGTCATCGGTAGAACTACCTTGCCTATCGGAGACACTCACATTGACCTTAACCAAGGGTGGCGCCTCTTCAGGGTCCATTTCAAGGCCAGAGGTAACCACCATATTGGAAGGATCGGGATCAGAGGATTCAAGGTCGCGGGTCACACTACCATGCCCATCGGAGACATTCACATTGACCTTAACCAAGGGTGGCGCCTCTTCAGGGTCCATTTCAAGGCCAGAGGCAGCCACCACGTTGGAAGGATCGGGATCAGAGGATTCAAGGTCGCGGGTGGCGTCACATTGACCTTAACCAAGGGTGGCGCCTCTTCAGGGTCCATTTCAAGGCCAGAGGCAGCCACCACGTTGGAAGGATCGGGATTAAAGAATTCAAGGTCGCGGGTGGCGTTAGCTTGCCCATCCAAGACATTCACATTGACCTTATCGAAGGGTGGCGCCTCTTCAAGGTCCACTTGATGACCAGAAGCAGTCACCACGTTGGAAGGATCGGGATCAGAGGATTCAAGGTCGCGGGTGGCGTTAGCTTGCCCATCGGAGACATTCACATTGACCTTAGCCAAGGGTGGCGCTTCTTCAGGGTCCACTTCAAGGCCACCGGGGACCAGGGTGGCCTCGGTGGAGAGTTCTACGCTCACCTGATCATCCGCATGCTGCTCATGCACAACCGTGGCCCTCTCATGCAAAAAGTCGGCAGACCTCGAGGTCGAGGTCTCTTCAGGGTCGGCCGTTCCAGGGTGGTGCGACACTCGGGCATGCTGGTTATCAACGGTGTCTCTACGCTTGCGAGTGTTACTACCATTTAACAATCGAGCCGGGTAATTACCTCCCGACGAGGACTGCTGTCTAGGTCGTCCGGAAGCTGAAGAGCTCGTCGAAGAGGACGTCTTGTTCGCCTCCGAGGCGACGACCTTGGACTCCACGTTGTTGCTCACCAACACCGTGCATGCCTTAGCTCCTTGATAAGACCAGTTGACCACGTTCGACGCTGATTAGAAAATTGTAAAAAATTATATCGTCGGTCGATTGGAAAGGTTATGAGGGGATATTGTGCTTTGGAGATGTTTGGATTTCAAGGTCTCACCGGCTACGTAGGTTAGGGCTGCCGTCAGGCAGAGTGATACCATTATCACGACGATGGCGATCAGCTTCCAGCTGCACCATTTGATCCCCTTGCGGAAGTGACAGCGAATACTTTGTCTCCTCATCGGGATCATCGACGGCGCGTGACCGTAAGGCAATGGTACCCTGAAATCAATGACAATAAAATACATATTGTGACAAAAAATACATATTATATATATAATGACAATAAAATACGTGTAAATATACAGTGAGAAAATTTCGAATTTTGTTACTACTCTCGAGGAGTAAACTAGATGAAATTCAAGAATCAAATTCTATCCCTAAGCAAACCTCCAAAAACAAGCCCCATTTCAAATTCCGAGCATTGAAATTCCATCCCAACTAACAATTAGTAAACGGACTTGTATAATGAAATTATCCAACCGTGTCTTATTTTCCGAATTTTGCTATTACTCTCGATGAGTAAACTAGATGAAATTCAAGAATCAGAAACTATCCCAAAGCAAGTGCCATTTCCAACTCCAGGCATTGAAATTCCACCTCAGCCAAAAAACGGACTTGTATAATGAAATTACCCAACCGTGTCTGATTTTCCAAATTATATTATTACTCGAGATGAGCAACTTAGGCTAAATTCAGGAACTAAAAACTATCCCAAAGCAAGTCCCATTTCCAACTCCAGGCATTGAAATTCCACCTCAGTCAAAAAACGGACTTGCACAACGAAATGACCCAACCGTGTCTGATTTTCCACATTTTGTTATTACTCGCGATCAGTAAACCGGAGAAAATTCAGGAATGAAAAATGATTTCAAAACCAGAAGCGAAAAAGGGAGCTCCGGGTATTTAAATCCCACTCGAACGAAGAATACCGATTAGCATAATGAAATTGTTTAACCCGGTTTCATATTCCCAGTTCCCCGGATATTTCGCTTCCCATGGGAGCGGAATTATCTCGGGCAAGTGGGCGAAGCCGGGAGATTCCCGAGAACCGGAAAATATTTAAACAAGATGGCCGCTCCTACGTCAAGGGGCCGTTTGCTTTCCTTCCGCCGATAAAGTTGACGAAGGCCAGGCCGCCTTCCCGGAGATCTAGTTCGACCAAAAGCGATCGGTCTTCCCGAAATATGTCAGGCCCCGAGAGAAACCAAACGTCCCTTCATGACCGATCGCTCCTTCTTGACGGGACGTTTCCGGCTCGGCGGAAAATTTCCAAAATCGAGATTACACGCGCCAGACACTTTTTCCAGGGAAAGCTTGACGAGTCTCCTCGAGGAAATTTCACGGTTTGTTTGCGTTATCTGCACTTTCTACCCTCGAGGGGGTAAGGAGGATAGTACACTTTTCTTCAAAGGTACAGAAGGGTAGATACACTTTCGCCTACGAACGCCAGAAAGCTCAAGAAAGCTCAAGAAAATACAAGATGGCCGATTTAGCGGGACAGTATGGGATTTTGCGACGATAGGGATAATATATGATGCAGAAATACATAATAATTGTAAATGGATAAATTACAGATCAATACACAATTTGTAATAAATCATGATTGTACAATTTCTCAAGGATTACGTAGAAAATTGAATCGCTATATCGTTCTATACCCGAAGAAAATGTATTGATCGTTATTTATATTTATATTGCGTTGAGATCTTGGAACGAACTTTGTATTTTCCTCTTTGCTGGCTTTTTCAATTTTCAAATTTGCCGCCGAATTCGCGGATTACGCTTTGTGACATCTTGCACTAGCTCGGGATCGAGGGTAGAAAGTGTAGAGGAAGTCTACTCTCGGGGTAGATGCCCTCGCAAAAAGGAAAAGCGACTTCTGCGTAACTTCCGTCAAAACGAACCCCAGAAGTGCACACTGGGAGACATCGATGCCCTTCCAACCTGCACAGGCGATGCCGTATCTGCAGGGGAGGCATTTATGTCCGCCAGTGTAAACTTTTCGCAAAAGTGTAGAAAGTGTAAGCAAAACGAACAAAGCTACTTTTTCCAGCGAAAGCTTGACGGGTCTGATAGAGGAAATTTGACGGTTTTGTCTCTTCGCGATAAGCCGACGGACTTTTCCCTGGGAAACCTTACCGATCGTATCCTGACTGATGGACGCGTCCACTGATAAGCGATCCTTTGTAAATATTTCCCAAGATTCTACTTCGGGCTCCCGTTATCTCGAGACGTCTTTTCCAATTTTCCGAGTCGTCAGTTTCGGGGAGAAATCTTGAATACGGTCAAAAGTCACGTATTTCCTTTCCCTTCGTGCCTTCTTTATATTCTAACTATGGACGCATTCGATCATAAGTGAATATTTGCAAATATTTTAAAAATATTCCTCAAAATGTATCATAGCTATTCGCTATCTCAAAATGTGCTCCTCTGAATTTGCAACTCAAAAATCGCCCTTTTTCCAAGATTCTCTCCAAGCTCTAGGAAAATTTGGTGAACGCCCTAAAGCTTTTTTTCCCTTTTTTTAAAGCGAAATTTAAGAAATAATCCTCAGAATATATCGTAGCCATTCGCTGTCTCGAAATGTGCTCCTCTGAATTTGCAACTCAAAAACCGCCCTTTTTCCAAATTTCTCTCCAAGCTCGAGGAAAATTTTGAGGGTGCACTAAAGCCTCGTTTTTCCCATTCTTTACACCGAAATTAAAAAAATTCCCATAAAATCTACCCCATCAATTCGCTGTCTCGAAATGTCCTCTCTGAATTTGCAACTCAAAAACCGCCCTTTTTCCAAATTTCTCTCCAAGCTCGAGGAAAATTTTGAGAACGCTCTAAAGCTTCGTTTTTCCCATTCTTTAAAGCAGAATTAAAAAAAATTCCATAAAAATTATCCCATCCATTCGCTGTCTCGAAATCTGCTCCTCTGAATTTGCAACTCAAAAACTGCCCTTTTTCCAAATTTCTCTCCAAGCTCGAGGAAAATTTTGAGGGTGCACTAAAGCCTCGTTTTTCCCATTCTTTACACCGAAATTAAAAAAAATTCCATAAAATCTACCCCATCAATTCGCTGTCTCGAAATGTCCTCTCTGAATTTGCAACTCAAAAACCGCCCTTTTTCCAAATTTCTCTCCAAGCTCGAGGAAAATTTTGAGAACGCCCTAAAGTCTCGTTTCTCTTATTCTTTAAAGAACCACGTGGCAGCGCCGAGTCGAATCGGGTCCTCTCGTTCGACGCGAGAATTTCTCATGTTAAAGCCGCGCAAAGAAGAGACGCTCTTCAGGGCGGCAGCCTCGAAGAGCCGCCACAGAGAATTCCTTCACGGTCACGAGCGATTCTCCAGAGAAACCTCGGACACCGATTCACCCTCCAAACATTGACTCATTGTGCCCGGACATCCCAATGGGTGATTCATGAAGGGTGTCGAGAGGCCACTTTGAAGAGGTACATACAGAAGCGTTCCCAGAGGTCCGATTTTCCGAAATCCCAGTTTTCCTCCCCGTAAAAATCATTCAGAAGAAGCCCTTACCTATCCATATTGTTCTGTAGCTCCACCTTTATTGGACTGTTACCCGTGGACTGGTTCTTGTTGTTGTACTCATTCTTCGGGATCTCTGCAACACAAGATTTCAAGAGTCAGACGGATACTTTTTCTTTAACATTAACAAATTAAATTTGGTCTTGCTCATTGCATTAAATAACAAAAATATAAAATGTACGAAATTTATAAGTGTAATTGCTTTAGAAATGCAAAGTTTATCGTGAATTTTGTTTATTGAACATTGCAAAGCAAGATTTCAGGCGTCAGTCGGGTAATTTTTCTTTTAACATTAACAAATAAAATTTGACGCTGATCTTGCTCATTGCATTTAATTTAAAAAAGGAGAAATATGGGAAATTTGGACGCGTATTCGCTTAAAAAATGCAAAGTTTATCGTGAATTTTGTTTACTGAACAGCTTATTTAAAGATGTAAAATCAACGGGTGAATCTGGTATAACAAATTGCAATGCCCTTTGTTACGCGACATTTTAAAATGCAAAGCATGATGAATACAAGTCGTATAATATACGAGGATTCAATAAGATGCGCGATATTAAAATTCCTGGATGGTACGATTCCTTGAAGCCGACCTTGAAGGAGGAACAATGGTATCATCAGCGAGAAAGCATTACAAGGATAAAAATGAGGAATCAAGTTCGAGAAGTCATTCGAAGCGATTCGCTGAAGAAAGCCTCGACAAAGAGTCGTCTTCAGGGCAAGGAATCGCCGAAACGGCAAACTGATAATTCGGCAAAATGACATACGATATTCCTTGAAGGTGACCACGAAGAGCAACGTTATCAGTTTGTTCTTAAGTGAAATTAAAAAAAAAAAAGAGAACAACCGAAGCGAGTTGCCGGAAGATATCTTACAAGGAAAGATATCTTACAAGACATCTAAGAAAGAAGAAAGATATCTTAAAAAGTCTGTCACTTGATATATTTGGCAACGATTTCAACAACATATTTAGAAATTATTCCATAAAAATTATTCAAACTAAATATGTCAATTTAGACGATCGACAAATATTTTAGATATTTTCAAATGAAATCTATAAGAAATCTTAAAAAGTCTGTCGCTTGAAATATTTGGTAACGATTTCAACACCATATTTATAAATTATTTCATACAAATTATTCAAACTAAATATGTCAATTTAGACGATCGGCAAATATTTTAAATATTTTCAAATGAAATCTATAAGAAATCTTAAAAAGTCTGTCGCTTGAAATATTTGGTAACGATTTCAACACCATATTTAGAAATTATTTCATACAAATTATTCAAACTAAATATGTCAATTTAGTTTGAATAATTTGTATGAAATAATTTATTCAAACTAAATATGTCAATTTAGTTTGAATAAATTATTTCATACAAATTATTCAAACTAAATATGTCAATTTAGACGATCGGCAAATATTTTAGATATTTTCAAATGAAATCTATAAGAAATCTTAAAAAGTCTGTCGCTTGAAATATTTGGTAACGATTTCAACACCATATTTATAAATTATTTCATACAAATTATTCAAACTAAATATGTCAATTTAGACGATCGGCAAATATTTTAGATATTTTCAAATGAAATCTATAAGAAATCTTAAAAAGTCTGTCGCTTGAAATATTTGGTAACGATTTCAACACCATATTTATAAATTATTTCATACAAATTATTCAAACTAAATATGTCAATTTAGACGATCGGCAAATATTTTAAATATTTTCAAATGAAATCTACAAGATATCTTAAAAAGTCTGCCGCTTGAAATATTTGGCAAAGATTTCAAGAAAATATATATAAATTATTCCGTGCTACCAGGGCTCGCCTAACGTAAGGACAGAAGAAATAAGGAAGACCGATGCATCGACGTGTCCATTGATCCCATTGATGGGGTGCACTTCTGAAAATGACAGTGCACGGTGCACTGGCCCCAATGACTCCATTGTATGCGATCCCGATATCGAGGTGCACGCACCGCGTCGCGGCCACAAAGAGGTAGACATAGAATTATGGAAATAAAATGGGAAATAAATTCGCTCAATTACGGAACCCGTGTCGCACGAGCGAGCAGGGTGTGTGCTGGACTTCCTGGAGTCCTGGAAGCGGCTCCCTAGGGCAGACCCCGAAGACCGGGAACCGAGACCTTGGCGGTGAATCATGGCGCAGTCATCGATTGGTCACTTAATATGCCGCGGAGGGTCCGCCGATTTTTATTTCGCGAGAAACGCGCGAGGGGAATGTCGCGAGAGCGAAGACTAGCGAGCTCGAGAAAGAAAAAGCCGCCCCAGTACCCCAGAATAATTTCTAAATATTTTTCTGTAATCTCTGCCAAATATCTCAAACGACGGATTTCCTAAGATGTCTCGTAGACTTTCTTTGAAGATAACCAAAATATTTCTTGAAATTCTCAATGCCATATATTTAGTGTTAATCATTTACAAACACATAATAAAAATACATTTCATACTTTAGGGTTATTATCTAACCTTTCAATTGGTATGAAAAACACACGAGAAAATTTTGCAGTATTTTCGTTCCGCATTTTGGTAGCAAAACGTGCGATTTTGGTTTTAAATATTTTTCAAACCTTTATAATATATTCGGCAGATATAATGTTTAAAAAATACTTAACGACATTTATATATAAATATTTAATGGCATTTAATGAAATGAAATTCCATGAGTTTCAGGAATCTACTTTAGGGCCTCCATATTCACGTGGTAGAATTTCAAAAGAATCGGTACACCTGATTCGGGGAATACTTTCCCCAACGATTTGACTTTTCAGATATATATATACATATATATAGGCTGACTCTTTCATATCCTCTTAAGACGCGAAAAAACGAGACCTTCCGGGGCTCGCATGACTCCAGTAATGCGCCGGCCACGCGAGGCGAATTATCGACGTGGGTTTCGGCAAAGGGTGAGGCCGAACTCGGGCGCCATTAAATCCTCAAGGAGGTTCCCAGGGATACCGAATACCCTCTAGGCGAATTCCCGGCAACTCGAGGTCCTCTTGGGGGAATCTCTTCGGTCCCCCTCGTTTTTAAATTTTCCCTGGATCATGAGAATACCATTTTTCCCGGATATGCTCGCGATAACTCTGTTCTTCAGGGTCGTCTTCAGGGAATGTCAAATGGTGTATATTAAAGGGACTCTATGCAAATTCTCAGCTCGCCGCCTAGGCGACATTTCAAGGTCCTCTTTGGAGAATCTAAATAGTGAAAAACACTATTTTTCTCCGGATATGCTCGCGATAACGCTGTTCTTCAGAGTCATCTTCAGGGAATATCGAATTCTCTCTAACTTAATTCTTGGGTTGCCACCTCAGCGACTTTATCTTTTGAATACCACTTTTCTTAATTTCCCCTTCACCAAGGTATTCTCTTTTTCCCCTAGTAAAGTATCCTTCGTCCTTGCAGGATCAAGATCATCGAATTATCTTTGTTCATCCTGATGGACTCCTTAATCAGGATTGCGATATTTTTAATACACATCGAGCACACCGTTCCTAATTTCATCTTCACTATGGTACCCTCTTTCTTCCCTAACATCCTTCGTCCTTGCAGAACCAAGATCTTCGAATTATCATCGTTCATCCTGATTGAGTCCTTGATAACGATTGCGATACTTCTAATACACATCGAGCATATCTTTCCTAATTTCACCTGTACCAAGGTATCCTTATTCTTCCCCAACAAAACATTCTTCGTCCTTACAGGATCAAGATCGTCGAATTATCTTCGTTCGTCCTGATTGAGTCCTCGATCAGGATCGCGATACTTCTAATACACATCGAGCGCATTTTTCTTAATTTCACCTGTACCAAGGTATCCTTTTTTTTCCCCAACAAAACATTTTTCATCCTTACAAGACCAAGATCATCGAATTATCTTCGTCCATCCTGATTGAGTCCTCGATCAGGATCGCGATACTTCTAATACACTTCGAGCACACCATTCCTAATTTCACCTTCACCAGGATATTCTCTTTCTCCCCCAACAAAACATCCTTCGTCCTTGCAGGATCAAGATCGTCGAATTATCTTTGTTCATCCTGATTGAGTCCTTGATCAGGATCGCGATACTTCTAATACACATCGAGCGGATCTTTCCTAATTTCACCTCTACCAAGGTATCCTTTATCTTCCCTAACAAAACATCCTCCATCCTTACAGGACCAAGATCATCGAACCATCTCGAGCCATCCTGTCGGCCCCCCATTCAGGATCTCTCTGGATGACTTAATGTCCATCGGACTGTCCAGTTTACTTCGTGGAGGTATTAATGCCTCCATGGGAAGACTATAATCCGCTTGCGCTAATTGCAGGTCTCGCACAAGAATTGGCGAATCCCCGATTAGACGCTTAGGCTGATATCTGTAATCAGGCGGTTTCGGGCGGTCTCTTCAGGGTCGAGAGCCGCCATTATCCTACATCACTTTCGGGCCTGGACGTCACGTGCCTCCTTTAATTGGTGACCATGATTTATGGACAGCTCGTCCTGGACCTCACGAGATAATCGGAGGATCCTCCAGGAGGTCTTGCTTAATTCATTGTTAATTATTGCTTCACCGTCAAATAATTATTTCATTATTTAGTCCTGGCGTTCCTTCTTCTGATATGAATTGTATACACTTCAGAATAGTTAACAGGATGGATTAATTTATCGAGTGAGAAATAAGGCATTTTTGGGAGCGCTCTTTAGGATATGAACAGTTTACAAGATTTCGAGCAATAAAGAATTAAGTTTATCTTGGGATGCATCGATATTCCTGACGTCTTTTGTCTTGGCAGGAATTTCATATATTTCAGGATATTCAAGAAGACGGATAGATCGATCTAGCAGGAGAAATAAGGCACTCTTGCGAGCGCTTCTTCAGGATACGGATATTCTATAGGATCTTGAGCGATAAAAAATTAAGTTTATCTTGGGATGCATTAATATTCTTGACGTCTTTTGTCTTGGCAGGGATTTCATATATTTCAGGATATTCAAGAAGACGGATAGATCGATCTAGCAGAAGAAATAAGGCACTCTTGAGAGCGTTTCTTCAGGATATAGACAATCTACAGGATCTTGCGCGATAAAAAGTTAAGTTTATCTTGGGATGCATCAATATTCCTGACGTTCTTTATCTTGGAAGGAATTTCATATATTTCCGAATATTCAAGAAGACGGATAGATCGATCTAGCAGGAGAAATAAGGCACTCCTGGGAGCGATTCTTCAGGATATGAACAGTCTACAGGATCTTGCGATAATATTCCTGACGTCTTTTGTCTTGGCAGGAATTTCATATATTTCCGGATATTCAAGAGGACGGTTAGATCGATCTAACAAGAGAAATAAGGCACTCTTGGGAGCACTTCTTCAGTATATGGATATTCTACAGGATCTTGAGCGATCAAAAATTAAGTTTATCTTGGGATGCATCGATATTCCTGACGTCTTTTGTCTTGGCAGGGATTTCATATATTTCAGGATATTCAAGAAGACGGATAGATCGATCGAGCGGGAGAAACAAGGCACTCTTGGGAGCGCTTCGCGTCTTCGGGACATGGACGTCCTGCAGGACCTTCGGGCGACAAAAGGACGAGTTTACCTCGGGATGCGGTAAACGACAAGCCAGTGTCAAAATGTGGAGTCGACTGGAACGGACCGTAAATCAGGACACTAAGCGGTCCGCCACTCCTCAAGGACCCCTTCGACAAGGAGACAAAGGACGAGGACCAGATGTCCTGGCGCCTTCTCGAGAATTTCAGAGAATATCCAGATTTTTCCGGAGAAAAGTGGGGACTGACTTGTGATGTTTTTAATTTAAAAAGAAAAAATTCAACAACAAACACACGGAGAAAAGGGATTTTTAATTAAAAATAGAAAAAATTGAACGACTTAAACACACGTAGAAAAGGCACACACTTCAAGGTCGACCAGTGATCCCGAAGACAGAGGATGGAAGAGTATTTCCTACCAGCGAGAAATTCCAGGATTTTAAGGATATTTTCAAGGACCTCGCTTTTACAAATTCCAACTCAAGGGATGTTTTGAATAAAGTTGAAATAAATTAAATAATTTAAAAGAATCAAAGAGAAGGATTGTTACAGGAAAGAAACATCGAGGTCGATGGATGAACCTGAAGATAGAGGATAGAAGGAAGAGGAGTATCCTGGAAAAAGAAGGATTCCAGGTTTAAGGATATTGGACGGAGGTATCGGCCCTTCAAAGGAGTCCGGATGATCCCTGAAGAGGGCCTGGAAATCGACACCGGGGTCCCACAGGACCTCCAGGTCCCCGGGGAAATGCTTTCTCACGGGACGTGACTAATGGAGGCAGAAAAACACTCGAGAGACCCTGAAGAGACCCTCGCGCTTCCTTACGCACCCTCGCGCACTCTTCCTGAAGAGGACCCCCGTTGACCCTGAAGACCCTCGACCGAATCTTTCCCTGGCGGTGAACTTACTCTGTTGATACTTGCAAATGTAATTGATGGTACTCACTTGGTATATTGTAGAAGTTGCCGGAGGGGGTGCGCACGAGACAAGATGGCTCCAGGTCAGGGTCTCTCTCGTGGTCGCTGGTTGCGTGGCTTCCTGGCAGTCTTCCGTTCAGACGGCTCATTGTAGGATTTCGAGGTGGCACATCGGGCGGTCCCCGCGGTGCCGCGTTGTCCAGCAAACACCCTGAAACCCAAAAATAAACGAACCTCGTTATCAGCTGATCGATACCTCCTTCAGAAAAATTGTGTACAATTTTTAATGATTTCTATTCACACGAAACATTTTTTAAAATATAATATACCGCGTAAAAGAAATGCTGCGTTGTCCAGCAAACACCCTGAAACCCAAAAATAAACGAACCTCGTTATCAGCTGATCGATACCTCCCTCAGAAAAACTGTGTAAAATTTTCAATTATTTCTTTTCATACGAGACAGCTTTTTCTTATCTACCCGTTCCTCAATTTACGCGGAGTGAATTTGTTTTACGCGAAAATTGAACATTGTATCGCATTTTTATCGAATTTCTTTTTTCCTTAAAACTAATTTTTCGCGTTAAAGATGCAGAGCGACACCTGAAGTAGTACTTTCACTTCATCGGTTGATTGATAATTCTTCGATAAGAATTGATTTCATTTATAACCATGAATTTTACTATTGTGCTTTTCGATTTTCTTGGTACTACAGAGATGTAAGTATACACTGTATACAGAGAGAATAGGACCCTGAAGAGGGATTCGACGAAAGTCGGCAACAAGGGGTGGATCCGGCCCGTTGGATTTTGATCTAGATCAGGAAGAATAATGCCGGCAGGTGATCGAGTGAGTTTTTTCCCCTTTTTGAGAAGAAAGGGGTCCCAAGGGAGATAGCAAGGTCCCTAAAAGGGTGAGCAGCCCTCGAAGACCCGCGACAATGGTTCTTCGTCCCCAGATTCTACTCTTCCACGATCGTCACATTCTTATCCCGAGAATTTGTCGCCGACTCTTCAAGAACGACCCCTGAAGAGCACACTTCCGCACCCTGGATGTTGCTTCAGGTGTTCTCCAGGTATTTTCCAGGAGACCCGAGTAAACATGTCTTTAACGGCTCGTTAAACGGGTGGCCCTCTTCAGGGTGAAAACCTCACCCCGAAGAGGAATATTAACGCGACAATTTTAACACTAGGGAAGATTTACATGGAATAATTCAAGGTAAATTTCCCTAGTTTCCTAGTATCGAGAAATCTTCTCTGGGGTTCTCTTCAGCATCGATCGAAGCAGCGCGTTTACATAGAATAATTCAAGATAAATTTCCCTAGTTTCCTAGCATCGAGAAATCTTCTCTAGGGTTCTTTTCAGCATCGATCGAAGCAGCGCGTTTACATCGAATAATTCAGGATGAATTTCCCTAGTTTCCTAGCATCGAGAAATTTTCTCTGGGGTTCTCTTCAGCATCAATTGTCGTCCAAGCACCGCGTCTACATCGAATAATTCAGGATGAATTTCCCAAGTTTCCTAGCATCGAGAAATTTTCTCTGAGGTTCTCTTCAACATCGATCGAAGCAGCGCGTTTACATCGAATAATTCAGGATGAATTCCCCCAGTTTCCTAGCATCGAGAAAGCTTCTCTGGGGTTCTCTTCAGCATCGATCGAAGCCGAAGCAGCGCGTTTCAGTCGGGCAATCCATCACGTCGCTCGCTTCTTCGGGCAGTTCTTCAGCATCCCCGTCCAAGAGTTCGGAGGTCGTCGCGATAGCTCGACGTCGTATCCGGGCGATTTCCAGGATCGTTTTTGGCCCGTGGCCCTCTTCAGGGTCGGCCATTGTATCCGGGAAAAGCCTCGAGAAATTCGAGTCTCGCCGGTACGCCGAGTCCCATTCACGAGGGCCTCTTCGTCCCTTCCTCTCCTGATTTCTCTCTCTTCAGGGTCCCCCATCCCCCGCCACCCGGAAGATATAAAAAAAGGGAATAAAATAGAAAATTTCAGTGACCGATTTTAGAATCTTTCTCATTTTCCAGGCCTGATCGGGGGCGATTGGCTGTCGTCTTCGAGGTCCTCTTCAGGGTCTCGATTTTATCCTATCCCTAACCTCGTTCACATTTACCTCGTTTCGTCTCGGCATTTCCGCCTTTCTTTGGGTTCTTTGCTCCCCCGAAAAAGCATTTCGCCTCCCTTTTGCTCCTCGAGATCAAACTTTCAGGTCCTCGCCAGGATCTCTCTGTATCCTGGATTACGCGTCCCGGCGTTTCTCCTCGGGAACGAGGCCGAGGAGGTCCTGGTGGGGGTCCTCGCAAATGGTGAAAGTCCCCCTCCGGTTCAACCCCGAAAGTTGCTCGAAAAAGTTTCCGCCACCGTGAAAGCCCCCGAAAAATTATTCCGCATTTCGGGGCCGGGGGGAAACTCCCCCGGGACGATAAACGCCTTCGGAGAAAGCACTTCCTTAACTCTTTAACTCCTTAACTTTGGCCAGAGTGGCCCGGGGAAAGCCGGGTTATGACGTTACGTAGTCATGCACGCCTCGTTGTCCGGTGACGTTACTTGCGCCGTTAAAAGTGTCTGTAAATTTTGCATGACTTCAACCCACGAAGTTGGCCGCAAATGGACGAATTTGATACGACGATTTAAATCGCCGGTATGCATGAATTCACGAAGGAATTCTCTGACATTCCATCGAAAAAATTTGCGTTTCTTTTTTAACCCCTTCAGTACCGTGGACGCAGAAGTGCGTCCGACGTTTGGTTCAATATCGCTTGAACGCCTTGACGAAATTCGCCCTTACGCTGTTAAAAGCGCCTGTCTATTTTTCAAGATTTCAATTTACGAAGTCGGCCGAATTTGATACCACGATTTAAATCGTCGTCCTGCGTGAAATCACGAAGGAATTCTCTGACATTCCATCGAAAAAATTTGCGTTTCTTTTTTAATCCCTTCAGTACCGTGGACGCAGAAGTGCGACCGACGTTTGGTCGAATATCGCTTGCACGCCTTGACGAAATTCGCCCTTACGCTGTTAGGAGTGTCTGTAAATTTTGCATGATTTCAGCTTACAAAGTTGGCCGCAAATGGACGAGTTTGATATCACGATTTAAATCGCGTGAATTCACGAACGAATTCTCTGACATTTCATTGCAAACGTTTGCGTTTCTTTTTTAACCCTTTGAGTATCGTGAACGCATAAGTGCGTCCGACGTTTGGTCCAATATCGCTTGCACGCCTTGACGAAATTCGCCCATACGCCAAAAGAGCTCAGCGCTCACAGGGCAATTGTTAAAAATCCGATAAATTTCGTATAATTTGAATATATAACGTAGTATTTAAATTACAAAATTTGATACGGCGTATTAAATTAATACCCGGTGTAATCAGTTTAGGAACGAATTTCAAGTTACGGGCCCGAGCAATGCATGTCGTGTATTAATAACATGATACGACATATAGTCGGAAATTTTCCAAATCACGATGTAAAATTATAAGGCACTTCCGGTGCATGTTTCGCTGTATATAACAATTTATATTTGCACAAATTACAAGTGGTCCGTCAGCAAACTACTATTCTGCCTACAAGGAGATGTCAAAAAACAGTGTTTAAGTTTCAACATTGGCGATATATTTAATTCCTCAAAGTCGGTAATTAACGCATATAAAAAAATACGTGTCCCACATTATTCCACGTGGCGCAACATACGTGAAAATGAGAAAAATCGGTGAGGTACATGCGTAGGACACGTTCCTTACTGGGAGAGCGCAACGCGAGTCTGGGCTCTAGACCTTGACCTAGCCCAACCGGGGCCCCGACCTGGCCCAACCCTCCCTCAAGGTTCCCCGCCTTAATATCCACTAATGTCGTCCCCGAGATCGGATTTTTCCCGGCGAAGGGTCAAACTGAAAACCCGGGAGCGTCGCGACGTCCTAATCAGGCTCGCGCGACGCCTCTTCTGGGCCCATTCATAAGGCCCCGGCGGAGTGGAAGACGCCGCGGCGTGGTTATTCTTATTAATAGATCGGCAGGATCGGCATTGTCCGGAAGGAGTCCCTCGGGAGAGTCCTCGTTCCCGGCGCAGGTAGGAGAGAGCGTCTCGACAAAACGCGACGGGCCCCGAAGAGGGGCCTGAAGAGGCCCGCGACAAAAGGGACGCGCATGCGAAGAAGGCACGGCTCGATCGAATTAAGTTCGCCTCGTTGGGCCCCGGGGTGGGGACCGCTCAATGGCCGAGGGGCACCCGAAGGGCCCCGCTGTCGCACCGGGCCCCGTAATGGATGTTCTCCTCCGCCATTCAAGGAGAACGTCAAAACGCGTAACATAATATCCAGGTACTCACGGCCAAGAGGCCGTGGCTAATGGAATTTATTAGAGAAGCCCGAACGCGGCCCGGTCGACTAGTGCGCCCCCGTTTTGCGTTTCGGGCCCAAAAAGGGGGGCCCCAGGTGTTGCGGGCCCCTTGTTCGCCCGGGGCCCGCGAAAACCCCGACCCCCTTCTTCGGGGACGCCGACTGACCGGAAAGGAGTGGACGAATCGTTGTCATGGAATTTTGGGCCCGTGTCGCGAAATTTTGGGCCCGTTCGAAAAAATTCCATAAGTAATTGCACTTCTTCCGGAGTGTGAATAGTAAACATTTGTAGGTGGGTTTAATTGGATTAAAAATTAGGGAGATTCGAGGATTTAAGAGGGGGGTCGAGGGTGGTCTTAAGGACATTCCTTCGTTCCTTAGGGCCCCAGGTATGGGCCCCTCTCGCGCTCGGAAAATGAAGGGATTCCAAAATACCCGTTCAAAAGGATCCCCTAACCACTGTACATATATACATAAGAGTCGACATATCGGTACCGTCGAATTTTTGGGACCGTGGAAAAATTTCGGAAAAACTACTCTATCTACAGAGTATCGACTCGATATTGTCCAAGGTACGCAAAGTTGAATTAGAAACAAGAAAAGAAGAAATACTAGCCGTTAATTTTGTAGGACGTCACGTACGTCAAATTTTGGGCCCGTTGAAAAGTTCTCGACAAAATTCTTGAAAAATTCCCCAAGGCACGTGAAATTCAATTAAAACGAGGAAAAGAGGAATATCCATCCCACACGACCCAATAAGAAAAATCACCCGTTAATTTTGTAGGGCGTCAGGTACGTAAAATTCAATTAAAACGAGGGAAAAAGGAATTCCACACGGCCCAAGACACGTCAAACCACCCCTTAATGTTTTTAGGGA